GCTTCACATAGACTCGGACTGGCTAAACCACCCTCTGGTTGGTAGTCGGTTTTTTATTCTGCACACTCAATGGACCTGGAAAGAGTGGAAGGGACCCAAGAAAGATTGGATCAGCCTATTGGGACCATCTCAAAGTTGTCTTCATTACTGCTGAAGTATTCAGAGGGCGAAGTCCAGTTTTTTGGCTCTGACGGAAGTTGTAGATCTGAAATATATATCAATTACGGAGAAGATTCTTCTTTCCTTCTTCGCTACCCACTGTAATGAATCAGGTTCTGGTCATGTCGCAGCGCTTTTTCACCTCACGTGCGCACGGATCAAACTTCGCCCTCCGACCGATATTGCGGGGCAGGATCTAGGGTATTTGGGAGAAATCTCGCGTATTTATCAAGTTTCAACAAAAGTGATTGAAAAATCAGATTACGAGCGGAACAGCGTAACACCTACAGCGTTTGGAATTAAGAACGCTCACTGTAAAACCTATCTTTCTCGAAAACATAGGTACTGGTTACTAGAACATGAGAAGAAGTTTTCGTCGGCTATCATGCTCGAACACTTAGGTTTCAATATTTGTTCTCCGCCATATAGTGTTTAGTAAATGTCAGGCCATTTATTCTTGGCAGCTGGGTGTGGGCAAATGGCCCACTCACTGTAAAACCTTTCTCTCTCGAAAACATACAGGGGGCCAAAAAAAAGTCATTCCGGCCGAGTCACATATGAGCGAAGTTTTCGCAGAAGTGGATATGAGTACCAGGGCGGAAGATACCCAAGATCTTCCTCTATAAGCAGGAGCCGGCTGCCGCCATTCACCTTCATGTACACCAAAATATGAAGTCATCTCCAGTCGCGGCCTGAGTGGAGAACGCCTTTGGAATATCACGTCCGCTCCAAACAGCTGTGAACTTCTAATGTGGAATCACCATTGGATTGTACTGAGCAGAACCAGTCACTCTCAATCTTTCATACCTCCAACAATCGCAGCACTTCGACAACGCTGCCACAGTCATAGGACTCATCTTACACGGCAGTCTCAAGGCCTCCAGTCTTGATTGGTGGGGACCGGCGTACCTAGAATGGACAGAGACCGATATCTTCTTCGTAGACCACCGGGGGGGGACCGAAGTCTGAGCCTGCGGTTACATCAAGTAACTCCAGAAGGATATCACTCCACATGTTTGGTCGCCCCGTACTCTTGGAGCCTTTGCGCTGCTATACAGTGTTTGAGGTGCCACCACATGGATCGGAGCGTTTCCGGAAAAAAACTCAAATACTTCAATGGAGGGGCGTTGATACCGAGGAAGGTGGAATATTCAAGCAGGTCATGACCCAAACCCACTCAATTACCTAGTTCGGGCGGAGCTCAACAGGGTGACTACAGTGGCGGAGAAATCAACGATCTCGCTCAACTCCGGTACCCACTCACTTTCGCGCGGCCGAATCTCTCGATGGCGCTCCTCCAGAAGGCTGTGGCGGAGTATATTAATAGTATTTAATGTGCTCTTCAAATATGTAAAACAATGTCCGGATAAAAATTTAATAATGTTAACTATACGCTTGAAAGCTCGGGATGGCAAATGACTTTTTCTTGCCCCCCCCCCCTTCTTATCTACTGTATACTAGAACATGAGAAGAAGTTTTCGTTCGGTATTCGTGCTCAAACACTTAGCTTTCAATATTTGTTCTCCGCCATATAGTGTTTAGTAAATGTCAGGCCATTTATTCTTGGCAGCTGGGTGTGGACAAATGGCCAGCGCGTTACGGTACAAGCCACAAGAGGAGGGGGTGTGCTCACGTATTTTTTTTGCGAGCACTGCAGGCGCGTACGTACACGCGAAATCCCTGAGATGAGATAGGCGTGGTTGCGTACTTCAACTAAAGCGTGTGCTAGGGAAAGACATTTTCATTTTGACCCAAATGTGGTCACGTCTTTTTCCAACAAAGAACAAGATGGCGGTTGTCTGAAATTTAAATATCCCACGAGTAACCAGTTCCGTGCCATGTTCGAATGCCACGCCTACCCCGTCTCAGGGATAAAGAGTATACACTCCTTATTCTCGAGACGGAGTAGGCGTGTACGCGTTTAAGTAATTTTAATTTACGTAGGGTTAATTTAAATCTGGCATAGAAAGAGTTAGTCGTAGGATATGACAACAGTTATCTTGAGACAAGAGTTAGTGACCTAAACGCACTTGAAAATGTTACTGAGCTTTCGTGGCCTACGTATGCTTTTGTTGTTCCAGAGGCAGGGAGTATAAGCTAAGATGGCTTTGGGTAACTTTCCGATTTCGGAAAGAATGCCATGCACAAGGGCGAAAAGTGGTTTTGAGTGCGTTCAGTTGCTTTGTTTTCTAATTTGGAAGTAAAGTCACTGCGTAGAAGTAAAGTCACAGTAATCAGCATAGTAATCATAAGCCCAAATGCCAAAAATCACCATCACAATTTCATAGATGTATTGACTGCATCGTTCATCATGTAAGTTCAGTGAGCCTTAAATTCCAGTCTGCTGATTCGCCTATTATAAACCGAGAAGATGAAAGCGGCAAAGAATATCAGTATCTCGAAAAAGGCATGGACCTATCCGGGTTTTATCAGTGAGTTGTCAGCAATTGAATGCGCATTCCACTCTATTTACATGGGCGGAGACGGGCCTGGATTATTGCCTTCCACAGGCCTTTCCTCGCTGTCCACCGACGAGAAAGACATAAATGCAGGCCCATCTCCGTCCAGTGGCTTCGATTGTAGTGGAAAATGCCTTTGATTGAATTTATTACTGACAGTAATGTCTGAGAACACTTCCTTCGAAAGTGTACCGAGGTAGTCCTCTGAGAACAGTACTGGACAGAAACTGAGTATAATCCTCACCAGAAAACGTGTATAAAGTAGTTTTCATGGTAATTTCAGAAGTCTGGAATGGGACCTGATGTCCCTAACATCACAGCGTCACGAGCAATTGTATCCTGGATGTTGCGGGCAGGACTTCTATATCGATGTGACATTTGATATAGCGTTAAGAAGGAAAACTCTATTCTACACTGTGAACCTGGTCATACCATGCATGCTAATAGGTAAAACTTATACAGTCTCGTTGCTGGCGGATGCTGGGGAGTATCATGAGGCTGGGTTTGGCACGGCGCCAGGCCTTCTCCACCGTTTGTGGAAGGCCGGGGACAACACCCGCAAACCAAATCCAGCTCTTCATTGCCACTCCTCATCGTTACAAAAAGCGAATCACTCTGAGCGCCTACTTCGAGATGATGCGGGTCAAGAAATCCGAATCGCGGTAAAGCAAGTGAAGCAACGTCGCAAGTAACGTCGCGTGGCTGCATGTGCACCACGAGCCGCAGTGGGGATGAACCATCGTGCCGCTGCGCGTGTGACCTTCTTTCTGGGCATCGTCCGTATCTCGGATTTGTTGGCCTGCCACAAAAAGATTTCAGGATTCAAATTATGTAAAATATCTTTTTTCAGCAATCTTGACCACATTCGTATTCTACATTCCTCCTATTGAGCACAAAATGACGTTCTCCATTTCGATCTTGGTGTCACTTACTGTGTTCTATCTCGTTCTGATTGAACTGATTCCACCTACATCTCTGGTTATTCCCTTGATAGGTAGGCTCCAACAGTTCTTGTTTTATGGCCCTACTTTTCAAGTATGCAATTGTTAAGTCAACAAATAATAAATAAACAAAAAACAAAACAACATTTCAGGGCGATACCTTTTATTCACAATGTTCTTGGTCGCAATGTCAATTCTTTTGTCTGTCCTTTCACTGAATTACTATAGACGGTATACCATTGACGAAGTAACTAGTACCCAATTTGAAAAATTTAACATCTGAAATGTTTCCAGAGATGGCTCTGCTCATCCTATGCCTCACTGGATGCAAGCCGTCTTCATTGAAACGTTGCCGAAATATATTGGCATCAAAAAGGCTGAAGAAGACGAAATAAGTGACCGCGGGAGCAGTACTTCTGGTAGATACTGTCGAGAATTTAGAACCTTGAAAGATAAACGAAGTTGTCAAATGAACTAGAGTCCCCTGAGCATGATATCACGAACTTGTTCATCACATCCCGGGAATGGAGAGGGTGTGGCTGCGTACTTCACCTAGAAGTAGCGTAAAATGGATCGACTTTCTCTCGAGCGTTATCATTTGAAAAGACTGTCATCCTTTTTCGTGCTGGGCAATTACGATTGAAATTGTCCCGAATTGAAAATACCGTAGAAGTAGTGCAGTTGCCACCACCTTTGAATGAAGCGGCGGCCACGCCCTCCTTAGCATGGGATATCGAGTGCATGTCTTTGTTCTGCAAAATTGTGTCGATTAAATTTAGAAATTGCAAACTCGCCTTTATAGAAATCGGTCAATTTCTCGATTCTTCACGTCGACCATCACCATACTTCCTTACTGTCCCCACAGCGATACAAGACGATGGGCAGAAACGAACGAGAGGTGAAATCAACAAGGTAATGATTACCAGATTGAAAAGTCGAGCTTGGAGTAGGCCACAGTGAACATTTCCGTACTCTCCCTGTTACATCCTTGTTTGCATTATCTTTTGCCCGAACCCGATCCATTCACTGGCTGGCGTGCATTTGATTTATTTGTAGGCTAAGATTTGTATTGCGGTGCAAATAGTGAAAAATCCATATGGAAGTAAGATGCTTGGTGATGCGCCACGCATTCTACTTCCATACGGAATCTTAACATTGTTGGATAGTATGTTAGGCTCATGCAACGAATTGCAGGTCCAGCCGTGGTGATGTTCAGTGCTTTTTTCCCCAGATAAGCCTTCTAGATACTGACAAACTTCCAAGAAGCAAAAAATCTGTTGCTTTGGATTGGATTCAGCCCAGACTATGACACTCGGGCTACCTGTGCGCCATTTGTGATCATCTGCCACTGTACCTGATATTTCTGAAATAGTCGAAAATGATCCCTACTTTTATAGTTACATACATTACTTCGAGCATAGTTGGAGGGAAGTCCTTAGATTATACTGAATCGGAGCGTTTTCAGATGCGATTATCGCAATTGGCTCATCTACGCGGAATGCACCCGGATTTGATACGTAGAATGATCGACAACGTCTCGTTCATTGCGGACCATTTTCGAGCGATGAAAAAAGAAGACAAGGTGGGGAAGTTCCAGTGGAATCTTCTCACTCACTCTAGACATTACTAGTAATTTATTTGCACAAAAGACGCTCAAGTCGGCTGAAGCAATGCAGCTTGGTCGAACAAGCTCTGTACATATGCACGTTTAGATATCTTCCGACTGGTCCTATGTTGCTAATGTCATCGATCGATTGGTTTTGATTATTTTTACATTCGTGAATATTGCTGGTACGGTTCTCATAATACAGAACTCACCAATGTTATTCGATCATACGGAGCCAATGAAAATAGTGAGTTTAATAACTTGGTAAAGTTAATACAAGTAAGCTTCTATTCTCTATTACGCTGCGAATGAATAGGCGTGTCAGGCAGTATGAGTGTGCCATGGCACCAAACCCGTTCTCTGCCAGTTGTTGAAGCGGGTATGCGACAACAGTTGGTAGAAAACCAGTGATACGAACAGTATGGTACAGTCTTTTCACTTGCTCACTTCAGCAGCTCGTGGAGAACAGGGTTCGGTACCGCGCCAAACTCATCCCGCCTGACACGCCCCTTCGTTCGCAGCGAACTAGGCTGTATGTTGATATGGGAATGCATATAAAATATGTGTATCGTTCTTCAAACAAGAACAGAGCATACCGTACATTTTGATGTATAAGCCGCCTCATCACGAAAGGAACCCACTATCTTTGAGCGTTCCCGGCGTTCCGTAACAACTATCCTGCTTTTCTCCCTGCTTTTTTTTGGTTGGGTTGTTTGCGGTTTATTTTTTTTGCTTTTTCTGCTATTCACCCCCTCACTGTCCCAAAATTCTGCCCAGACTGACTGCAGGCCGGTTGAGGAAAGCCCTGGTCGGGGGTAGATTTAACTGAATCTCAGGACTACATCGACCTAATTAACATGAATATCGCGCTCGCTCGCTTCTACATAGCCCTGCACCAGCTCCCAACTCCCTCAGGTCATCGGATTTGTCGAGAGCTTGTCTACAGTGGCATTCTGACCTGCTCAGCGCGAATATCACTCTAGCTTGGCGTGAAAGTACTTGGTGCGTGAGCTACGGGTGTCAGCTTCAAAACCGTAGTCTTGTTCGCTGCGGACGGTGGGGCGTGTTAGGGGGTGGGTTTGGCGAGCGCCGACCCGTTTCTTGTCTTTTTCTTTTCGTCAAGATAGTATCAGTCGTTTTCACCAATTGTTGTCGCTAACCCGCTGCGAAAACTGGTGGGATTGGGGCTGGCGCCGCACAAAATCCAAACCCACAAACACGCCCATAATACGCAGCGAACAAGACTGTAGCTGTGCTGTTGGGGCCTGTTGAGCGGATCCCAGGCGCTTCCAGGCACTTTTCTTCCGCACCAATTCGATGTCATGTTGAGTAGTATAACTTACAACCAGAGACACGTCCTTTTTTATATTACTTCTTGCATCGCCAAGCATTTATACTGCCATGCAAATATGCACTACTTATACCCAGAAAGTAGGGTGGGTCCAGTGAATTTTGTAGACTGCAAAAAGCTTGGAATCGATAGGAAGTGTTAAGAGTAAAAGAAAATATGTAAAAAGTTAATGAGGTTGCCCGATAACGCATTCCTTTCTATCTAAAGCGGTGAACTGATAGCGATATCAAAACCGCTTCGAAGAACAGAAATCCCTGTTTTTCCCGTTTTGCAAGCTGAAGGAAACACCACCTTGTGAAGCGACATCCTGGTATGTTTCTCCTTCTCCCCTCTCCATTCCCATTACCGGTCTCAGGGTTTATGTCAACCGGAGGCGAACTCTCTCTTTCTCTCCCTGCGAGGATCCAGCGGTATTTTCTCATGGCATCTTCTAGCTGAGCATTTACAAGGAGGAAAATGAGGAGGAGAGAAGAGAGTTGGCAGCTGCCCTGAGACCTCTCGTCCTTTTCAATCAGTTGGAATTCGACGCTCCTTGCCGGATGAAACCTTCAAACTTGGACATTTTTGGACTCACCCCTTGAATTTGGATTGCTGGAATTTTTAACCTAGTGGGATACGGAGCCCGTCAGAACTTTTTGAATGTTTTCCATGACTGTTTTATGGGGAAAAAATCAAGGAATGATGGGAAGAATCTAAGGGGAAGCACCAGGTTGTCAAAACGCTGAAGAGAACTTCAACCATTATCAGTGCCACAGCGTCCAGTTTTTAAGCCACATGATGAGCTTTTTTTAGGGTGCTGCGACTCGACCGCTCTCTGGTGACACTTTTGAAAATGCCTTCGATGCGAATTTCACACAGGAAAGTTGGTGGAAGAACTCTGAAGGACTCTAATATGGATTATTTTTTTGTAAAAAAGTAGAATAGTTCACGGAAGTTGTTGATGGTGTTACAAGTTCAATAGGCGCTGGAGTCAAAAGGTTTAACCGACAATTTTGCTCTCCCTGAGGATTACAAGTATTTACTTCACGGCATCATCGCTCTTGCAGAGAACTCAAATGGGAATGGTTGATCTAGTAGTCGATTTAACACTCGATAAATCAATAGATGCTTAATTTTTAAAGATCTCAGTCTGCCAGACGATTGTATAGGAGCATTTTGTGCGTTTATGATTACCTTTTGATTTCCCTTCTGAATTTTCAACTACTGTAAACTGTCATTGTCGTTTTATCCGTCTTATCAGTATCCCTATTTTGAGGGTAGTGCTCCAAATATTCCTATGTTTACGTCTGCCCGGTAATGGATAGTTTCACGTTCGCATGCTAGTTTTATTTTTTAGTACACAAAAGGGTCAGTTTCGATGGTATTGTGTAAAGGTGTAGAATCACTTGTTTGACTCGAGAATTGAAACAGTAGAATGGGATTCAAATTAAAGGCAGTTGGCACGATGATTCGGTGCTTGGCCTAAAATGCTAGTAGGGCGCTGTATAGTGGGGAAATGGCGAAAGAACGGAGTGAAACGGTCAAAATCCTGCAAAGAAAGCCTCAGTGACTTGAATAATCGATTTTGGACGAGTTTGCCAGCAACCGCTACCGAAGGTACGGCTGCATATGTGTACTCATATATCCATGCAGCATCACGGCCGCTTCATACCAATCCCTTCGCTTCATAATTTGCTTAGCAAATGAAGCAGTACGAGCGTCAGGAACGGTCGTCCATTTGTGGGCGGGCGGGCGTGGCGGCGTTCGGGTCGTAATGTTGTAGCTTCATAGGGCCCTTATAAGGGCACCTTCCTTGGGAAAGGCGCTATGCAGCGCCTGCTCAGGGTCGCGGAATTCCGTCCTGCCAGGCGTATTAATCCTACTCGTCTTGGGGGATTTATCGTGCCAACTGCCTTTAAGAATAAAAGAATAAGGTCTTCACCGTTGATCAATCCCTTTGTGGGATGCGGCACGCATTCTACTTCCATTCAGAATCGTATGCTTATTGAATGCGATGTGGCCTATACAATGACTTGCGGGGCCAGCCGATGTACAAGTCAGTGTTTTATCCTCCCAGACGAATCTGGTATCCAATTTACCGTCCCAGGGAGGGGAGGGTGGTAGAGGGCTTCGCTGACCCGGGCGGGAGTCGGCCCGGGATTTGAACCCGTGACCACGCAGGTGACGAACGCGTCACTTGTCACTATACCACCTCCGCTTCTGGATTCAAATTATTGCCTACAAAAATTCATGACGGTACAGTACACTCATCACCAGTTCCTGTCCGTCGGTAGCAGCTGTTGCCCTCTTCTCCACATCCACACGTGCTCACGTTCAGCAGCAACCCTGAAAACTATCCTGGGTTGCCAGCTAATGTATTACCGTTACACACAGACACACCCACACATACATACACACATACACACTTACCCATACACCCACACACACACACACACACACACACACACACACACACACACACACCAGCACATACACCCACACCCATACACCCACACACACCCTTACCCATACACCCACGAACACACGGGCACGCACACATACTGCAGACACACACATACACCCACACACATACACACTACCACACCCTTACACCCACACCCATACACCTACACACATACGCACACACACATACACTCACACACCCGGTCACACACCCACACCCATACACCTACACACATACGCACACACACATACACTCACACACCCGGTCACACACCCACACCCATACACCTACACACATACGCACACACACATACACTCACACACCCGGTCACACACCCACGCATATACACCCACACACCCACACACACGCACACATGCAGCCACACACATACAACATTCATACAAACATACACCCACACACCCAGTCACATACACCCACACAGACGCACACATACACCCACACACATATATACACGCACATACACCCTTATCCACAAACCCATACATATACGCACACACACATGCACAGACACACATACTCCCACACACATACATACCTACATTCACACATATACACCCACACACCCAGCCACATACACCCAACCCACCCGCACGCAAACACTCACAGTGGAATTGCAAATGATTAGACTCACCTCATGCCTGGGGCAAGCACCGGACAAGCAGATGCGGTTGATATCGTAGCAACCCTATCGGGGTGGTGTTAGGAGGGGTGGGACTATCCCACCCACGATTGCCTCGCTCTTTCAATAGTGATCGGTTGGTGATCTACTTAGGAACGATACAATACTTCTGGAAACGACGCACGTTGGCTCAATCCGTGCCTCCTGGCATCGCCCCGACTGATCGCAACAAAATTATCCTCGCAGACCTACCCGCTGGATGTATCTCATAGTAAATGAAGGTCTATCTCAATCGGAGCACCACCTTGAATTAATACAGTAATAGCTATTCGTTTTCATTTTTGGCACTAACGGATCGCTATTGGTAGAGCAGCGCAGTTCCAAGGCAATATGAGAGTAACACTTTATTAGATTCTGATTGGACATTTCCACCATCATATTCAACAACACATTGTACACTATCACGATACTCCGCCACAGCCTTCTGGACGAGCGCCATCGAGAGATTCTGCCACGCGACCGTGATTCGGTGCCTGAGTTCAGCGAGGTCGTTGATTTCTCCGCCACTGTAGACCACCCTGTTGAGCTCCGCCCGAACCCGGTAATTGAGGGGTTTAGGTCAGGTGACACACTTAGATATTCCGTCTTCTTCAGGTTCTCAACACCCTTCGATTCCAAGAAAGTGAAGAAAGAAAGCGAAGAAGAACAACTTTTTCAATGCCTTTCGATTCCATGTGCTGGCACCCAA